AAGAAACTTGGAGATCGGTTTACTGGTGCACGCGGTTGATCGCCTGCATTTATCACGAAGCCAGCGTGTATATGTGCTTCGAGATGAGGACGTCAAATACAAAATACTGTATGATGCACATGATACTCCTTTGAAGGTCTCCTTGGAAGAAACGATACATACTGCTCGATGAGCGCTATGTATTGGTGGCCCAACATGTACAAATGGGTAAGCACTATGTGCGCATTAGATATGCTAACGGTTCAACCCTGACTGCATGTGGCGGCAACTTTGGCCAGCCTGCCGTTCGATTAAAGTGATGACATCCCATCAGGATAAGTATATATATTGTTCATCAAATATCGGTATGGAGGTCAACGTGAGCCAAACGGCTGGCGCCGCCGCTGCTGTCAGCGACCATCGAACTGGTCAGGTTCTGGCCAAGCTGTTTTTGAACAATGTTCTTGCCAGCATAGTTTTCGGGTACCACTATGTCGAATCAAGTTTTACGCTTTGTATCAAATTTTGGTAAATTTTGCGTAGGGTGGTATACGCCAGTTTGAATATGTCAACCGCTGACCATCTGTTTACAGATGGTCAGAAGAAGCGTGCTGTCGTTTGGACGAGGTAGTCCTCCAAAGCACTAAAGCAAAGAATTTGATACCGAAATGGAACGAAGTCACACGTACCCGGAGTATAATAGAGTTATACGTACCCTTGTATGAAAGGGTGGGTCACACAAGATGGTGTGACCGTACAAGGGTGTGAATTACATAATGGTGTGGCTACACCGTAACAAGAAATAACTACGTGGAAGGACTGCCAGTAGTTATGCGTTTTACTTTTTAATCAGGAAAACCTAAAATTTTAGATAGGCAGCGCTGTCGCAAGATAATCAATGAAATCCAGTTTCAATTTGAACGGAGAGCGTTTTTGCCTTGGTTAAGGTTCTGAAGTACTCTTAGAAATAGTGGATTTCGATCCGCTACACTCGTTACGGTTCTTGTATAGAAAGTAAGGTCGGTGACCTTAGCTTAGCTTCCTTTAAGCAAAGAGCTTCGCAGCTCCGCTGCATTTGATAACACTCGTAGTCATTCTACTCCTGAGTCGTTACGACTGATTCCTGCGAGGATCGAGCAATTCTCCTGTTTGCCTCAGGGCATGCGGGACGGGCTTAATAAGCTGATGTCTCTGCTGGTCCCTGAGAGCGTGGAGCACCTCGTTGCGCAAGGACCCGAGGCTGTAAGCGCACGCCTAGAGCCCTACATGTTATGAAAATGCTCTGTTATAGCATCAGTGTCAACTGCGTCCATGACGCTACCGTCGACGACGGGTGATTCCTCCCGACCCAGGCCGCTTATGGTGAGCGTTATGACCTTCTTGGTAAGAATGGAGAGAATTTCCTGCTCTGGTTGAGAGAGGTCGAGATGGTTATAGCATCCGCCATGCTCCAAAACGAGCAATAGCGCGGGCGCTGGCTATCTCCAAGCTCGAGGGCCGAGAGCGAGAATCGGCACAAATGTGCGGTGCTTCGGTTGAAGCGGCGTTTCTAGCGCTTGATGTGGTGATCCTTTGCAGTCGTGACGCAGTTTTTTCAGCTCCCGGCTACAAAAGCTGAATCATCTTCTGTTTTGCTCATTGTACTATGAATAAAAGCCATCAATCTACTCATTTAGAGTAAATTTTGGCTTATCAATGCTGACATTGGCCTTCGTAATATTACCGATTTTATGTATCATTGTCACCTCTCAAGCAACGATGACTCCTCCCAGTGTGAAAAAAAATTCAAGGAAAAACGCCAGCACGACGCATCGTTGCTTTGGTGAGGCGAATGGATTTCTCCTGAACGAATCCCGTGATGACATCGGATGATCAAATTAATTTATGAATAAAGGTGAAATAAAGCAGACTTCTGTTCTATTCGTCTCTTACAAACTAAAATGTCCATTTGTAATCGTTTTTCGTGATGCAAAAAAGAAGAGCAAATAAAAACATCAATTAAATTTTTTTGATTTGGAGGGATAAAATTTTAATATTTCGCGGAGTCGCGACGTTCTTGATTATATGTTACGGACGTAGTATGGATCGTCCATGAACTCTTCCTCACAGTATGGGAACAAGGTGTCATCGTGTGATGGGGAGAACAGGTGCTCACCAGCATGAATCATCACGTAGAATCCTGCAAAGGCACACACTACGATTACAATTATCGATGCGGACTTGTCGGCGATCGACATCTTCTTCCAGCAAACACGCATGTAGATGACAACAGGCAGCACCAAGCAGCTCGTCGTATGGGCTGTGGCACCAGTGAAGTCTTGCAAGTCGAGGAATCGCTGGCGGGCAAGAACGGCAACAAGCACTAATATCACGATGATGCATATGCGAAGAGCGATGTATCGTAGGGGTTTTGCGCGGTATGGAGCGTTCAGCTCCTGTTGCGTTATTTCGTGGCCAAACTCCAATGCAACGCGCAAGTGCGACATTCGGCCCTCCGTCTTTTCGACCATACTAGCGGCAGATACCTGGCGGTTGGACATCTCCAATGGGGTCGAGCTCTGCAAATACGAGTGCTTTTCTTGAAGGGCCATGTCATGATCTACACTGGCTTGATCTGCCTCACCTTTAAATCGCACAACCTCGGGACCTTTGTGCATGCCCAGGATCAGGCGTTCCGCCATGAAGAATGGAGGCATCATTAAAGTTGAAAAAGCGATCGAGATGTGCATTTGCATGAACAGGTATGCCATCACCACAGCACCGCGGTCAGCAGTAAAGCCCAAGGGAGCCACGCCAAGAGGATTCGCAGTATTCACGATGGAGTACAGGATGTTGCCCGATAATTGGCAGCCACCAGCTGTGTATCCGAGCAAGCCGATTGTAACGAAGAAGCCTGATATGAACAAAATTGTTATCATCACCACACGTGGCATGCACTGTGGCTGAGAATGCTCGCGCTGCAGGTCAGGAACAACAATTGCAGCTCCGTACGCCAGTGCAAGGTTGCCAAAGCACGTCAAAATTTGATGAAGAGAAATGCTGGGGGTAGGAATTGGACCGTGGCCACGCATATTCCATTGCAGCAAAACAACAGCAATGATGTCGGCGATGATTGTTCCCATGCAGCCGGCAAACGCCATGCTGGAACTTTCCTTTAAGGTTGGAATCAAACACATCGGTACGACCATGATTGCCATGAATATGATCCAAAAAATTTGACTGAATGAGTCCGGAAATAGCACGTTTAACAATGTGCTACCTAGAATTAAGAACGCGCACGGCACTAGAAGACATACACCCATTTGAGAGACTACTGTGAGATAGCGTCCCCATTTGCCCAAAGCCCACTCGCCCAAATCGCCATACGTTCTCACCGACGAAGGTGACACGAGCATAACCTTCGATAACTTAAGCGTGGCGTACGTATTGGCGAAAACCATGAAAGCCAACGCAATCGATGCGTAAATTGGACCAGCGCGGGCAAAGTTGGAAGGCATGGCCAACGAGCCGATACCACAGACGCAGCAGAATAGATTGAAGGACGCTTTAGCATCCTCTATGGAGAAAAACGCCGATCTAGAATCGGTGGTCGGCATATTGTCACCCAGAAAAACAAGTAATTATGATCCGCTTATTGGCAAAGTGAGAATTTATGAACTGATCAGTCTTAGTTCGCTCGATAGACGCAGAGCGCATAGATTTCAACATTGCACTCTGCGTCTCAGATGCTGCAACTGTTGGGTAAAAATCAAGTTGAGCTTTGTCTGGACAAAGTCGATGCACTTGACGTCACCAGCCCTGATTAGAAGAGAACAATTTTAGAGACGGCTACCGTACACTTCCCACGACCAATATGCTGCTGGAGCAGAGCAATGAAAGATCCGGAGCACCACATGATGATAAAAACGCAGCAGTATCACGTAGATGTCATCAATAAAATACTTTTAAAAATATTAAAAGGGTTTTCTGGATTTTCACGACATACAGTGAGTACATATTGCAGAAAATAGCAACTTATAGTTATCATTTTTCGGAGGCATAAATAGTTATTTAAATGCACTCGCCTTGTCGCCGAAAGAAACCATCCAGATATATGACGGTCGATGCGCGGCACCGATGGATTGGCAGACTGCGTACACCTTTTTCTAGTCGCATAAATGTTGAGCTCATATATCATCACATCGAAAGCCGGAAAAATCGGATGTATTTTCACCACGAGCTTATCTAGTCGCTGCCGATGAAATATCTCACCGAGAGGATGCAGAGCTCAGAAGCTTGACCGTTTAAAGCAATTGTATAAACAGGTTTGTAAGCTTAGACAAAACATGCCTGCTTAGTCTGGTACCTATATTACCTGCGTGGACGCCGTTCATCTCACGTTTGCAATCGAATTTTTGTACCACCGGTACAGACATTCAAAGGATACAGGTGGAATTATGCTGGTCCGTGCCCATCTCCGGATCAGCAAGTCGCAGTGTCTAGGACACATGTACAAAAATAAAAATAATGTTGTAAAGTCAGTACATGCAAAAGAAACATAGAAACTGGTACAGTAAAATGTGACGCAAAAGTGTATGATACATTATATAGCGAGAACTCCAAGTGTGAAGTGGCATACTTAAATGCCCAGATTGTACCATTCTGGTGATTTGGCAACACTAATCCCCCTGGTTGGTAGCATTTCACCTATCAGATATTGCAGTATTTTGCCAGACATAGGTTTGGCTCACGGCCAAGTATCTACCTTATCCCGGGTACAATTTTCATAAAGCCAGTGCAACGGGCTGTCGCACCCTTTATACAAGGAAAAGTTCGCGTAATACTATAATATGTCTTTAATTTCTCTTCTGATACAGCTGCCTATATATTCTAATGTGGGAACGTGTACCACAAAACCCACCTTTTCGAAGCTCCGTCATCTTTATAATTTAAAAAATGTTTATAAAAAATAATTAGCCTCAAAGTTAAATCAATGTATAATACAATATTCGTACAATCTTACATATTGTATTTGATGCAATAAAAAAAAGAATACTTATACAAAGTTACAGAACTTACGCCAATAAATCGTCTTTCGGTAAGACGTGGACCACACTGGGGTTCACACTTATTTATCGTTGCAAGACGCTGCGGAAAGATGACCGCTGCATGAGCGCCCGAAGTTTCACTCCACCCCTCAGCACCTTACCCCACCTTCTCTTCACGGCATGCTTGCACCTAAAGTCCCCTTCCGTGCTTGAAAAAAATGTTCAATGAGCATAAAAAAGGGTGATTCTCGCGACTGACTCGCTTAAATTTC